CTAGAATTTATCACGTTTTATTGTAGGCTTATTTATTGTGTAAAATTTAGTCTAACTTGTTGTAGAATTTATATTATATAATCTGTTAAGGGAATAGATGTTTCCCTATAGATTTATATTACAACTGTGGCATGTTGTAGCTATTGGTTTAAAATGTGCAGGCGGTTGTTTCTTCATAACAAATGCTATACTGATTAATTAAAAAAGTCATTGATAGCACAAAAGATCATTTCACAAAAATAAATATATAAGCAAACAAACAAATAAATAAACCTTATGAGTGAGCATGAGCCGGGACTCTACTAAAACAGTTCACACTTCAACCCCCCCAATGTTCAAACCAAAACTACGCCCTTGAATATTAAATCATGTTCATGACTGAGAAACTAAACGCTATTGGCTATTTTTTTAAAAAGGGAACAAGCTCTTTAAAAAAGTCCTGCCCAAAAGTCTTGATTCAGTACGAAACATATCAGCACAAGAATGAAAACTGTGCATATGAGTTGATTTTATTCAGAGTACAAAATGATTAAGAGATTTCTTTGTTTTCCTGACTGCTGAATGATCTCAGTGTAGAAGTAAAAATGTTGTAGATGTACCCGGTAAGACCCGCTATTCCCGTCATCCAGCTCCAGCACGTAACCCTCTACAAGCAGGGCTTGGACAGTAGTTATCCTCCAGGCCAGAGTGGCGCTGTTGTTCCGCATGCAGCATTTTTCCAACTGCAACAGCGGTGCAGGAGGCACTGTGGAGGTCTCCGCTAAAAGACAAAAATATTAACAGAGTACGCATTTAAGCACTGACTGTCATACACTGAAGCATCACAAGTTTAAACGGGGTAATCATGGAGTGACATGCATGGGAATAAGCACTTCCTGAAAGTCACTGGTGCCAAACAGAGGATAAGGGGCTGTGAGTTTGGGAGGGGTCGAGTATTGTAGGGAAACAGTTTGTAGCAGCTCTGAAATACCTCCTGTGCTCTCCTCCTCTTTCTGGTCACCTGCGTGCATTTGTTTCAATAAAGCAGCCTCCTGACCATCTGAAAGATGATATCGGACAAAGCAGGTGTTGCATGTGTGAGTCTAGAGGTAAAACTGTGGGGATCATTTGCCTCTGAAACTGGGAACGATGGAATTTATTTTTTGGATTGTGTAGCCCAATTATTATTTGACAAGATGTGAATTTGAGTTTGCAAGATTGGTTTTATTTCCCAAAACTGGTTTAATTGCCATTTTTGAAGCTGTTGTTTACTAGTCCAGATTCTAGATACCACATTCTATATGGAAAAACAAGAATCTCATTGCAACAAATTCATATTATATTATTAGCTTTATTACAGTGAACACCAGCATTTTTTTTTTGTTACTTAGTTACTTTTAACTTTAGTTAATTACACAAATTATGTTGCATGATCATTTTTATATATTTCTGAAAATATTTCTGAATTCTCCCTACTGAAAAAAACAGAACTTTTTTTTTAGAAGAGGTGCTACTTTTTTATGCTCACAAGGGCTGCAGTTATATTAAAATGAAATAGTATGCATTTATATGAAGAATACAATCAACAGTAATATTGTGAACTGTTATTACATTTTTTAATGCTTTTCCATGTATATTTTAAAACTGTATTCCTGTGATGGCAAAGCTACATTTTCAGCATCATTACTCCACATGATGCTTTAAAAACCATTCTAATATGCAGATTTGATGCTCAAGAAACATTTCTTATTATCTTATTATTATCAATGCTTTTTTAGGATTCTTTGATGAATAGAAAGTTGACAAGAACAGCATTTATTTGAAATCGAAATCTTTTGTAACATTATAGATGTCTTTACTGTCACTGTTAATCAATTTAATGCATCCTTGCTGAATAAAAGTATTAATTTCTTTTAAAAATCCCAACTACGACTTGTTTTGGTATTTGGTAAACTTGTAAAAGTGCACCTTCTGTTCAGCTCTGCTATGTTCCATCTATCTTTTTTAATACAAGAACAAACACGATATGCATGGTCTCAAATCCAAAACATTTAAAGCATAACCTGATTATGTAATGTGCATTGCTTGTTAACGTTACGCCCCCCACACTGGTGATTACAAGCAGCAAACATGAAATCTCATTTGTTAGGTGTGTTGCCACATGTTACCTTTATTCTGGGTGAAGTCCAGCTGGAGAATCGACTGCATCAGAGGATCTGTGTTGACGGTCAAGGCGAATTCTGGGCAGACCTTTGGCTCCAACGCACCTTTTACCCACTGTTCCTGAGACGCCAGGACACGCTTTATCAATGCATCTGAGATCTGGAAGAGAAATTATCATTTTACTTTTGAAGTTGGAAAATGGTTTGGAATTACAGCGCATGAAAAAAAACGAACTATTCTTTTAAGGACATGATATTTAGCTTCTGTACAACTTTAGTACTTTCAGCCACTGATGTACAATACAAAAGATTTAGTCCATAACATTCTGCACAGTGTTTCAGCGATTCACTCTTTTCCTTTGTGCACCGGTTTGTCTTGATCCTCAAAATACATTGTATTCTGCCAACTGCTTCTTTCTTCCTGCCTTTTCAGAAATCTCTACTGGGCAGGCATCTCTGACTCACATTACATGCTTTGTGAAGGCACTCAAAGAAACATCACAATCGATACTTCATAAAAAATTCAGTAAAGAGGCAGCGTTGCTCATCTGGAGCTGTCGTCTTTATATTTTATACATTCGCTCCTACGAAACATCAATTATTGAAAGAGTTTAATTGCTGAGGGCCAGTCTGAACACAGCTTACATGGCACCAAGTTTCATTCATACTTCTGAATTATAACAGGCAGAAATTAGGGATGGAACCAGCACTTGAAATATGTTTATTTTAGATATTATGCGATATTATCCCAGTTTCTCTCTGGGGGGGGTTTGTCTGTTTGTACCTGTAGGAATCCACTGGGATCGTTCTCTTTAATAACCTCCAGACAGAATTCCATCATTCCTGTGGTCTGTCGGAGCTTCATGGTGCAGTGAGTTATCTGATCCTTTACGGTCTGAAACAGAGAGGAGATGGTTAGTCTCATCACACACATACAGTCTGTTCAATCAAAGACATGCTCACAGTGATGAACTCCTGCTGTGAGTGTCACATCAGATAGACACCTCAAAGAGATATGGAGCCGTATAACCAATATCATCATCTACTGTCAGAGAGTCGCAACAAGACACGATTTGTATGGCTGTCAATGATCATCAGTCTCAGCCAATTAAGGGAATGTTCCAGATTCAATACAAGCTAAGCTCAATCGATTACCACAGAAATTATTTAAACAGAAACATGGAGCAAGACATTGCACCTAAATAAACATTACATGCATATGTGGCACAAAACAGAGTTATACATGTTAATATGAGACTAGTGTTATAAAATAAACCTTTCAGCTCCTGTCATGACTAGATTATGTGGTAAACATGGTTACTTTCATGTTGCATGCAAGGTTCCCTATAGTGAAAAATAAATATACTAAAATGTATTTGAAATATATTTATTTCATGCTAAGTATATTACAAATACATTTAAATATGTATGTGCTTAATAAAAATACCCTGAAATTGTACTTTTGGTATACTAAACTGGTATACTTAAAGTCTGCTAAATTGGAACAACTGATTTTGTACTTAGTAGTGCTTCTAAGGATATACTGAAGTACATTGATTGTGTATATTCAAAGATCATATAATCCTCATCAGTAGTGATATTAAAACACAAGTAGTATTCAAAATAAAGTTTAATTATAATTTTTATATCAGTAAGTCTTGAGCAATATGTCAGTAAATGTATTAATAAATTTGAACTATACTTAGTATAGTTAGTAGAAATATACTATACTTAGTACTATATCTTACTTTTTTTACTAGGGTTACTTGGAAAGGATGTGACATAACTATCCACAAATTACTGCAAACTCCACTAAATGACAGACTAAAATGTTCCCCACAATTAGCAAATATTTCAATCCTGGTTGCTGATTGTTTAGTACAACGTTCCTGCCATGATCCTGTGTGTTCCTGTTCACCATATCACTGTGCAGATCCCATAACAGATTTTGTTGCATAATAATATAAGAGACTATATACTGTACAATGGAAGGATGATTGATGAATGACTTAATAAAATAAAATAACTTAAATCTGTACTGTGAATACAGTCATGGCTAACTTTTCACATAAAGTACTCTACAAAGCAACTGTGTCCCTTCAGAAAACTTGGAATTAACAGCTCGATTCAAATGGAATTCATATGTCATTAAAAGAATCTTCATTCAAGTCTTATGGGTTTGAAGCGATATGGGGGTGATTATATGATGACAACTTTTTTGTATGAACTATCCCTTTAAATTTAGTATTAAATGTTCTCTCCTGAAATAATAAACTGTGAATAATCCCGCATATATTCTATTAATATTTGTTTTTGAAATATTTACAAAGATTACTCATTTATCAAACATTCACTCATGGTTTTTTGCCATTCATGTCCAATTGTGAAGACAAGCTGATCAAATCAGTCACTCTTTATTTATTCTCGCATTAATTATAATGCATAATTATTTAATGATGCACTTGTCAAGCGCTCTCTGGAATGAGATGAATGACTGTATAATTAGAACTGACAGAACCAGCATTAACCCTTTAAGTTAGAAATAAATGAATATTTAAACAAAACAAAAGCTGGAAGATTAACACGCTGTTTAATGTGCCATTATCCAAACATTAACTAACAATATTTAAAAAAACATTCATATTGTGAGGCTATGAATATTTAACATGTGAAAAAAATCAGCTTCATGTGTTTAATTTTCCCTTTTTTTTTTTTTTTTTTATCTGCCAGCTTTATCATGATTAAAATTACCAGAAAGCCTTCTGTCTCTAATCTGTATCAAATGAAGCAAATGATCTTATGTTGGTTAGTATATTGAGCAAAGAGCCATACATAAATTCTGCTGCTGTTTTTCCGATACATAAACTGTAGATCATTTTATTCTTCCTAATACACAATATAATCTTGCATCACTGTAATCTATTGAACAATGTAAGGATTCATTCCATAACATACTGTAAGAAACGCATTGGACCGAGCGGGTTTACTTTCACACCCCCAACCCCCTTCATCCTGTGTTCAGTGTGGTGAAAGAGGGCATGCGTAAAGCTCTGTTGTCAGACTACTGGCGTGGAAAGAAATGAATTAGAGTAGAAAATGACGTCTCCTGTCACTGCAAACAAAAACACTTCATTTGATTATCTGAGCAGAGCACACAGACCCCCGAAGACGGAGGAACTTACGCTATTAGCCTGTTATCTTAGAGAACAGAATTTTTTTTTTTTTTTATGAGGTCCTCGATACAACCAGAGTTGACCACATGGAGTTGCACAGATAAGACAAAAACTCAATCTGCTTTCCATAAAGTCACGGGAGGCGACACTAATAGTGCGGTGTATTACAGAAACTCTTTCTCCCTCTGTCCCATCTGTGAGCTGAAGCCAGGCATAATGTCATGTCAATGAACTGGGAAATAATCTCACTGCTGCAAATGGTTTTGAATGGTATTTTTTAATGGTTTTTAAATATATATATATATATGTATATACAATATATGTACACTTTCCCATACTACCCTTAAAGGCTGATGCTAAAATGACTACTACAGGCACTAGAAAATTTAATTTGCTACTGCTAATTTTAGGTGTGTGGACCCCTGTCAAAAGGGGTTTAGAAGAGGAATGAATGACAAGAGATGTGCATGTTGTGTGCTGACCCACCTTCAGCTTACTCTCTTTCTCCTTTGTGACCTTGGTGAGCAGTTTGGCCTTCTGCCGAATGAGCGCTTCAATCAGAGAGTCACACTGAGCGACCAGACATGCCTCAAATTCAACGCCGTTCTCCTGTTACACACATACACACAGTATACACATACTGAGAGTGAGCCTCAAGCAGCACAAAACACTATATACAATAGATCTCCATCATTTTGTTTTTGGTGACCTTAATATGGAACTTTTGTAACATTTTAACCTCCATCCAGAAGAAGTCTGCTAAAGTTAGTCGTTATAAAGTTTCACCGCCATTAATTCAGCCCTAAGAATTAATATTGCTATTGTATCTTTCAGACTTATATATGTAAATTACTTCTGTTATGATTGGCTAACCTTTTCACATTTGTAAACTTCCATATTTGAAACTGCTGGATACTAAATGGTGTTTATATGCAAATGTGGGAAGCAATATTTTAAATTCTACCATGACAATCAATGGTCTTGGTGGAATAGATCTGCTACGCTGCTGCTGTGGCAGAGCATGAACCGAGACTTGCTACTGCCAATACATCCACAGACATGCTGCAGCTGCTGTGAGCATGTAAGAAATACTGCTGCTGCACATATAACATAGGCCTATATGAACTAACCCCCATATATAACAGGGCTCGACAATAAAGACTTGTCACGGATTTGTCACTTGCTCGATCGGGCCACTGCTGCGTCATCACAAAAAGTTGATCATTTGCATCTGTTTTTAAGCATTGCTAATTAAAAAAAATCAAGCAATTTAAAAGCATTCCAGCAAGGCGCAAAAGATAACTCCATTCAGTACTCGCGCGCTGTGTTCTGTGTGTTCAGCGCGTGCACAGACAACTGCGTCTCTGACACCCGAGCCACGAGTTGAGTTTCTTTCCTCATCTTTCTTGCTCTTTAACTGACAAATACATACAAAAAATTTTCAAAATACCCGTCTTGGCAAGTAACTTTAACAATGATTAATCTATATTTAATTTATACAGTGGGGTAGAGATGCACCGATCGACCATGCATTTTTTGTTTTATTTCAGACTGTCTCTGTTCCGTGCTTGCACACAAACTGCATCGCAATATTTTTTTCAAAATGTCATTTGTGTGGAAATATTACGTTAATATTATATTTAGTCTGTAAACGGCCGATAACAGAGGCCAGCGACACTGAAGACGGACACAAAGAGGAGAGAATACTGTAGCAGGCAGAGCAAGATCACTGTTCATGATGCGCGAAATATAGGAAAAAAATCCTAAATAGTGAATTTTTTGTAAGGATGTGTTTCTGAGGGGAACTGACTGTTTTCGGAAAAGTTTACATGGAATTTTCTTTTCATCTTGGCTCGGTATAATGCATTTAAAGTAGTGCTAATATGCACAGCACTGCTTTGTTTACAGCAGTAACCAAGTAAACGCTGCTGTTTCATGAGCACCACCTGCTGTCAGAGAGTGAAATTGTGTCTCATTCAGCCCATCTGCTGTTTCGGTAATATGCAGGTGTTTTATGTAGCATAATTTCACAAAGCTAAAGTCAGACCATTCTGTTTTTGCTTCAAATTTTGAAATTGTACAGTCTAATTTAAATCATTTTTTTAAATTGATTCATGATTAAAATGCAGTGGTAACCACTCATTTCAAATGGCTATGAAAAAAATCAAGGTGCAACACAGTCAAGAATATGGAAATGTTATTTTATATGTGATTATTCAATTTCTGTACCTGAACACCTACAAACATAAAATACTAAATCATTTCATTTGTATCTTTGTTCTATATTCAGTGGTGTTATTGATTGTAATTTGTTCATTTGTTCTTATTTACTGACTGTTCACTTGTCTTTAATAATAATTGAACTTTATATTTGTCAGGCTAGTAGTTTTGGCTGTTGCATCGAAATTGAAATCGAGAATTATACAATTGAATTTGTATCTAAAATATTGGTGTCATATAAGCTTAATTATTAGAATACAAGATAACATATATCAAAAACAATGATAAAGGCAACTGTTTTATTTTTTTGTGGCAGGGCCAGTGAAAATGTTGGCAGGGCAAGGAATAATTAGAACCACTGGCCCGACCGGGCCAGTAGAAAAAATCCTTAGCGTTGAGCCCTGTATAACATACATGAAATCACCCCGTAGCAGATCTATACAGGTGGAGCTGGGGAAGGTGCAGGGTTTCTGAAGCACGCTGCATCTGCAACAGCAAGCACTAGCCATCCGCTGCATTAATAATAATATTAATGATGTGATTATATCAGATTGAGTTGGAACCTATTGGCCTGCGCTATCTAAAGTTTCATGACAGAACTTTGTATATTGTGGAAATATGGTTACAATGTAACATTACATCTACACCCCCATCTGCCAGTGGTTTCTGCAAATTTGCCGCAAACTCACATAATTTAGTTTTTTTTTTTTTTTTTACTGGTTAATGATGCTTAAACAAATGAGCAAAGTTTTGATAAGCCACAATGTGACAAAGTCAATCTACAAATAAGGGTTATTATCTACAACCAAAACTATTTAAAAAAGTTATTTAAAATAAAATAAACATTAAAAACATTTCTCATTTTTGTTTACTATAAGCTGAAGAACTACTTTAAGGTCCAATTTTCGCTATTAACAAACTATTAACTATGACTTTTCCCTCAATAAACTCCTAATTTGCTGTTTATTAATAGTTAGTAAGGTAATTGTTAAATTTAGATATGGGGTGTATATAAAATATTATGATAATATAAGATATTAGGATATAAAATATCGTCATGCAAAATATGTGCTTTATAAGTACTAATAAACAGCCAATATGTTAATAATAGGCATGATAATAAATAGTGAGAATTGGTCCCTATACTAAAGTGTTATCAAGAACTAACTAAAACCTAATAAAGTAAAACATATAAATACAAATTAATAAATACTACATTGACATGCTACTATTGCCCAATGAAGACACAGGGTTAGAGCTGTCTCTACACATTTAAGAAAGTAATTTAACAGACAAAAATACACATCACTTTTCTAATAATATATTAATATTCAATTCATAATAGTACCATTGTCAGACTTTGTTCCGTGTTTTGTGTGTGTTTTACTCCCCATGTGCCCATATTTGGTTAGTTTCCTGTTCCTGTCCTGATTATGTTGATTTAATTCCAGGTGTTCCGTTTATTTCCATTGATCCCAGGTGTGTCTAGTCATCCCCTCGTCTTGTCATGTGTTTAAATAGTGTTCCTGTGTTCAGTTCAGCGTCCGGTATTGTTTATGTCTACATGTGCTATGTGAGTTTTCTATATGTAATTAAAGTTCTCTGGATTGATGTACTCCTCGTCTCCCTCCGTTCCTTGCTCCGCACTCCACTCATTAGTGCAACCGTGTCAGAATACCGGACCAGACTGAAAGTGAGCGGCGCCTCTTCTTGCGTTTTTTTTTTTCCATTTTGAAAGTTTTTTTAGTTTTTCTTGTTTTCCCCGCGGCTATGGAAATTGCTGCTCGGTTCGCAGTCTTAGCTCGCATGGATCTTCCCTTTGTCGAGTATGCCCGGGAGTTCTACGGGCTCACCGCAGCGACTGATTTAGATGACGCCACCATCAACTCGTTTTTCTGGCACGGGGCCAATTACCATCGCTCCATGGACCTCCCAGACACCACGGGACTAAGCTGGAGGGAAGGGATCCTCCAGTGTCTGGAGAGCGTCCGGCCCCGAGCCAGAACCAGCCCGCTGGCCGTTCCCCAGTCAAGCCCGCCGGCCGCGGCTCTCTCCTGCCCGCTGGCCATTCCGATGTGAAGCCCGCCGGTCGCGGCTCACTCAAGCCCGAAGATAGGCCTGCCGGCCGCGCCGTTGTCAAGCCCGCCAGCCGCCATTGATGCAAACTCGCTGGTCATCGCAACGACAAGTCCGCCGGCTGCCCAGTTTCCCCAAAATCCAAGGAGGAGGATGAAGAGAAAAGGACTGTTCTCTGCCTTCATCCTAGCCCAGAGCTCGCTCCAGTGTCGGCTCCAGCCCCAGAGCTCGCTCCAGTGTCGGCTCCAGCCCCAGAGCTCGCTCCAGTGTCGGCTCCAGCCCCAGAGCTCGCTCCAGTGTCGGCTCCAGCCCCAGAGCTCGCTCCAGTGTCGGCTCCAGTTCCCTGCCCCCCCATTGCCTCCTAGTCTGCCTGCTCCGCCATGGCCTGCGAGTCTGCCTGCTCCGCCGTGGTGCCCTGAACTGCCAGATCCACCATGGGTCCCGGAACCCTGTTCCTAGAGGCCTCCAGAGCGCCCACCCCCCCGTCCCCGTTGGATGTTATATGGCACGGGACGCGCCTTCTGGGAGGGGGGAGTCATGTCAGACTTTGTTCTGTGTTTTGTGTGTGTTTTGCTCCCCACGTGCCCTCCTTGCCCATATTTGGTTAGTTTCCTGTTCTTGTCCTGATTATGTTGATTTAATTTCAGGTGTTCCTCGTTTATTTCCATTGATCCCAGGTGTGTCTAGTCATCCCCTCGTCTTGTCATGTGTTTAAGTAGTGTTCCTGTGTTCAGTTCAGCATCCGGTATTGTTTGTCTACATGTGCTACGTGCGTTTTCCGTGTTTCCTATATGTAATTAAAGTTCTCTGGATTGATGTACTCCTCGTCTCCCTCCGTTCCTTGCTCCGCACTCCACTCAGAAATGCAACCGTGACAACCATGAAATATGGACAGTTAATATGTTGCAATTCTTTTTTCAGAATTCACAGCTACTTCACAACGTCCATCAATGGTATGAATGCTTTTATAATCATCAGAATGGTGTAGTTACGGCATCCACCAGAAGAAGCAAATTGGACAATGCAAACCTTTTCTTGGGATCAACCAGTGGAGTTGGGGTGATTATTATTTTTGCTAGTTTGTTTGGTGTCTGCAGTGGCACAGAAATGACACACTTTAGCTTTAAATGCATTTTGCAAGGCTGGCAAAGATCAGTCGAGGGAGTCTGTGGTGTAGGAGTTTTGAACGGAACTAATCGTTCATTCACTTTGAGTACGGTTGTGACTCAGATGTGAGACCTACACTGACACTGGGGCTGATGGGACTGAGTCATTTCATCTACTACACAACGGTGATGAAGAGAAGACGTCTGATATGAGCATGTGTGACTGGTACATTTTAAAATAAGAGATCAGGCTTGAAACCAGACTATAGTCTTTCTGCAGGACTTGTCTCTGTGTGAGAAAGTATGTCACATTGCATTGAAGATCACTGATCACTATAGCACTTCAGTGCAAAGTCTGCTTACAGAGGCTTTCAAAGACAATCTCTTCCTCTCTCCCTCTGCCTGCTGGGCAGTATGAAAGGGCATTAAACTCTTCACTTGAGTAAAAATAGCTCAGAGCTCATAATCCAGTGGTCTCTAGGCAGAATACAATTCAAAACTTATGACATTCGTACGCATGTAGGAATTGTATGCAAAAAAAAAATTTGCATTTATTAACATTCAATACAAATGAATGTTAAGCTGCATCATTTTCATTTCTCTGGATTAGTGCAAGGTTTTCTGCTTCAGAGACCCTCAGTATAAAGTATCTCAATAACATTTTATTTTAATATTACATTCTATAATGTTTAAGAGATAATTAATGCTTCAAACCTGACATATATAAAATGTTTTTATACGTTTAATATGAATCTTATGTTTTATCTGTCTTCAGACCCCCTTGCAAGACCCCATGGGTCGATGGAGCCCTGGTTAAAAAATCCAGGTTTATATTATCAAAACCTTTGATATGCAACGCATAAACATCCTAACAAAATTCATGTTAACATCTGACATATGGCATGTTTGTTGGATACATGCTGAACGTTATAATTACCCCACTTCATTTTTAACGAGGTATTCATTTGCATATTCAATGAGACACTCATAAATCAAAGAGGAGATGCTAATATTCGAGTGCTGCTAGCATGGCTGTTTTGATTACGTTATCATTCTTGCTCTGATGTGAAGGCAATTTTTATTCACAAGTGTTCAAAACATAGTGAGGTTTGTTATATGAAACTGAAAGGAACACATTCAAAACTGGCAACTTATATAAACATTTAATATTTAATGAGTTTACATCATTTTCACATTTTTAATACATAACAGATGGCTTTGTTACCTGTATCTGCTGAAGCAGGTTCTTCAGCTGCACCAGGAACTCCTTGGCCTCCTTGGCTTTGTCAGACACTCCATTCAATGCCTGGGACAGCTGACACTGCACACATAAACATGGGTCAATGAAATCATTTGCTTAACATGCTTTAAAATCGTTTCTTCTAAAACAATTTGTTGATAGAGCCGTGAGTAAAAGTATGTTATGTAACTTCAATTAATTCAATTAAAACATCAATCTATTCATGTTGCATAAAGCTAATTAAATATTGTAGTCCACTAGTATGCACACTTACATCACACATTTGAATCCCTTATACATCATCACTAGACACTATCTTCACATGCTTATATCATCCTAAACCTGCATAAATTCATGTAGCACATTCATTAGCTACATCCCACTGAACCTTCCCAGTATTCTCTACCTAACATTTCATGCATCCTAAAATACCACCTACCAAAATACATAGAGTCCTGATCAACCCAGCATTAGCTGGTATCCTCAAATTCCACCCAACATTCCCACCATTCCTAAACATACCCCAGATTCCCAACATATAAGGTTTGGTTGGTTAGCATGTGCAGTCACCCCTGCTGGTACATGCCATAACTAAAATATTATTTGGACAAGATGTTAAAAGAAGTTGAACTCCCATCTTCTTGCATTTTTTCCTTTTTCACTGCCCGCGTCGCATCTTTGTCAACACAAAAGCGCATTCTGTGTGAATGGCACCTTGCGATATATTCGACTTATGGTCCTTCACAGAACGCGTCACACGCTCGCGTTAATTATGTGCACCAGCATGCATTTGGATAATTCTTTTCTCTTTACTATCATTGGCATATTGTCAAAGTGTCTAATTCTGATGTTTGGTAACATTTCTATTCAAAATCGTGATTCCTCTATTTATACAAAAATAGAATTGTGGCAAAACATTAAATTCGAATTAATCAATAAAATCTGAAATATCGCCTTGCCCTAGTTTCTACCTTGACAGCCTTCAACAGTAGGGCTGTTCGATTCCAAAATTTTTGGAATCGAGTCCGATTCCGATTCCTGGTTCTGGAATCGAATTCAGATGATCTCAGTACGAACTCGTTTTCTTTCAGTTTATTTTCGTGAATTTAAATGTGTGCAGCCTTCGTAGGATGCAGCCTTCCGTTTGAGAGACACCCATAGATAAGTTTTGTTGAACTGAAAAGGGCTCTGAATGAGGAGTCGATTCCCCTTGATGGAATCGATTCCAACCTTTTGAATCGACTCTCGATTCCCAACGCCTCGGAATCGATTCTTTTTGGAATCGATTCCCAGCCCTATTCAACAGTCATCATTTATTCCAGGGGTCACCAAACTCGGTCCTGGAGGGCCGGTGTCCTGCAGAGTTTAGCTCCAACTTGTCTCAACACACCTGCCTGGAAGTTTATAGTATAGGCTACCTAGTAAGACCTTGATTAGCTTGTTCAGGTGTGTTTGATTAGGGTTGGAGCTAAACTCTGCAGGAGACATGAAGTGTCTAAAATAAATGTGCACAGTTCAGCTGAATGATGAAGTTTACTTTGACTGTATGCTCTGCACAAAATTAACAAACTACACTGAAACAAAATAACCAGAACATTTACAATAACTGATAGAGCTCGTGGTTTATCTGTCAATCAGATGCGCTCTCGGCCACTGATCTATGCTCGGGACGTTTTCTTTTATAATTATCATTGGCTGATATGTACCACGAGCAGTGAATGAAATCAAGTATCTTGGGATTATTCTAGATGGTTGGAGCTAAACTCTGCAGGACACCGGCCCTCCAGGGCCGAGTCTGGTGACCCCTGATTTATTTCAATGAAATAACAACGAAATAAAGATAAATACCCAATGCCCAGGGGCCTCATGGGACCATGATCCAGCCCTGCCAATCCAACATTTCCCACCATTCTCAAACACCTCCCAACGTTCTCAGAATCCTCAAACAGCCCATATTCCGTGCCTCCTCTACCACCACCCAACATAAACACCTACCAACATTTCTGTGGCGCCTCAAAACCTGTGCCCAGGGGCCTCACAATTAACCATGATCCAGTCCTGCCAATCCAACATTACCCAGCATTCTTAAACACCACCCAACATCCTGGACCACAGGACCATAATCTGGTCCTGCTAATTCAACTTTACCCTTTTCCCAGAATCCTCAAACACACCCCAGATTCCCAGTATCCTCAAACATTTCTCACTACCTCCAAGCCCCACAAAACATCCTGAACATTCTAAAACACCACCAAAATTCCCAACATCTAACACCAACCCAACAACCCTGTTGGAAAAAAACATCATATGCTGGTTGGGTATGTTTTGAAGCATGTTTGCTGGTTTGAACTGGTTTCAGCTGGTCATGTGCTGGTCCTGAGCAGGAGCTAATTGCTTAGGACCAGCACATGACCAGCTAAGGACCAGCTTAAACTACCTCAAACCAGCAGCCATGCTTCAAAACATACCTAACCAGCACATGCTGTTTTTTTCAACAGGGAATGCTAAACACAGCTACCAATTAAACACATTCACTAGTGCAATATGACATCACACACATCAATCAGTCAAATATAGCTATTTCTCATATTATTATGAGAGTCTTATCAGTCTTTTCCCAAACAAAACTAAACTGTCAGGATTTGAATGATTTATGTGTTGTATCGAGTCTGTGCAGAATCGGCTTTAGATGACTGAAACACTGTCACTGACGACTTAATACCCAGTCACAAGAGGTTCTGCCCAGAGGTTTACCAGACCACCATAATCCATAGGCGGCAGCTATAAGATCATTTGAATATGATCTTATCAAACAAAAACAGCTTTGCATTATGGATTCTTTATAGTTTACAGCCTACTGTACTGCATGTGCCAACTATATAATTCTAATCTGAACTCTAATAAAACTCTCAGCCTGAGCCCGACACACATTTGACAGCAGTTGGAGTGAAAACCTAAACCAAGATGTACGACTCATTAATCCAGATTTAGTAGGAACACTGAAAAAGCACTCACCAGAGTGAAAGGAAAAGAGTGGTAAAATAAATAATATTTTCTATTCAACAAGCTCTATAAATGTGTCTATTCATGCAATGTAATACTAAGCACAACGGCAATTGCAAGACACAACTATTTTTTTAAGGCTTTTGTGTTTTTGTCGTAAACACCTATTGCACAATGTTTTCACATTTTGGTTTGTGTTATTTAATATAATATCAAGGCCAATTATTAGATTGTATTGTATGCTGCCTGTAATACAATTTATTTTTTCAAAATATTTATTCTTCAAAAATACTAAATGAGCTGTTAATGGAACTGTTAAGGATGCAAGGATGTGTTACAGTATATCGATCAAAAGTTACAGTAAAGTGTAAGACATTTATAACTTAAGAAAATATTTCTATTTCAAATATTATTTTTTAAAAAAGAAAGATATTTTTAAAATGTTATGGGTTTCACAGAAATATTAAGCAACACAACTGTTTACAACATTGATAATGATAATAATAAATGTTTCTTGAGCACTAAAGCAGCATAGTAGAATGATTTCTGAAGGATCATGTGACACTGAAGACTGGAGTAATGATGCTGAAAATTCAGCTTTGCATCACAGGAATAAATTACATTTTAAAATATATTAAAATAGAAAACAGACATTTTAAACTGACTTACAGGTTATTACCAGGACAATGTGTAGTTAAAAATACATGTTTGTAAGTAGTAGCTATTTTATAAATAAAATACTTTATTTATAAGTATTTTATTTTATGCTGCCTGGAATAAAATGTATTTTCTCAAAATATTTCTTCTTCAAAAGTAGTAAAGGAACCATAATTGTTAAGAAGAATCAGAACCAAAGCTGTTAACTTCCTTATGACTATTGCTTAGATAAGATCTTTTTTTTTTTTTAAACACTGCTCCCATAATGCACACAATAGAGAGTTAAAATCCAAAATCTTCTGTGGGTCTCTGGCTTGACTAATGATCACTCAAGTGAAAACACCCTGGCACGAGTCCACAGAGAGAGACACACACACACACATGCTCCTCTTCCTCTGGGCCTTCCCTGGCTTTCTTCGATCAGCAGGGTCTTAAATCAACGAAAGAAACACACACATAAACAAACACAAGCACACACACACACACACGTATCTCCTCGCTCTATTAACGTGCCATCTGCCCGGGCAAGCTGTCCAGCCTGCTAACAAGACCCTGACAGATACCCTGCTCATGGCCCACTTCTCCCAGTATGTGTGCCTGTGTGATGGAGATGATGCATCGGGGTCACCGTCCCACCCCGCTTTTGTGTCCAAAGACCAGTGTTAATTTTGACAGCAAATTTTGATTTAATTTTAGTTAGGGATGCACCGATACCGATACTGGTATCGGTATCAGATCACAGTTAGGAGATTTATAACGAGTGGTTCCCTGCATTATTACAGCAAATCGCGTGATTACAGTATACTAAGCCGCTGCAATTGAGCAGCTCTAATGCTATTAAATTACAGATGATGTACCGTAGAGCAAAAAATTTACAGTGAAAGTAACAAAAACTTGTAAAATACATTTTAATGGCCATAATTAAGTGTGAAAATAACCGAAGGATATGACTGTTGGTTCAACGTTCACTGTGGGTGTCGTGGAGGAATGCAACCCCGCACTCACTCGTGTAATGGCGGCCACACTAGAGCACGCTCACAAAATGGCGGACACAACAGCGCCCCATTATGTCACAGCTGCCAATCCTGAATCAAGTCAAGTCATGTCACCGTTGATCTTCATGAGGCAAGTCAGGTCACAGTTGATCGTCATGAGTCAAGTCAGGTCACAGTTGATCGTCATGAGTCAAGTCAAGTCATAACCGATCTTCATGAGTCAAGTCAAGTCTCAGCTGATCTGCCAGAGCCTCGTCACATCTCAGCTGTTCGTCC